ATTTATCTAGATGTGTATATGTGTGGGTGAATGCCTGGGGACGCCTAGGATGTTTTTGTATTGTCTATGTTTAATAATATTGTTTGTTTAAGATCTGGGGGTTGCTCATATGATTGTATCGAGTTTACCATAAGAATTCTATAAAAAGTTTTATGGAAAATTTTTTGCACTTCTGTTTTTAATGATTATTAACAAGTCATTTTGAAAAGGTTATAAAGTCTTGATTTTTTTTAGTTTCGACCATTTTAATGAAAGTTTTCTTATGTATTTTTCAGATCTCTACTATAAGTTTCTATAGCTGCCCTCGTATCTACTGCCGAACAGTTATAAACAGCGATCACAGGCCAACTAGGTAACAAAGTTGCTGTTTTTCTTCATCTTTTTGGATTTCTAAACTTAAATATGTTTACAGAAATTATTTATTTAAAGAAATGATACATACAGTGCATAATATCTTGTATCTACCTACAACCTATGGTCACTAATATCTACCCACAGCCTATATTCAATAATATCCACCCACAGCCTATATTCAATAATATATACCCTTTAGGCCTATATTCAATGATATCTACCCACAGCCTAGCCTATATTTAATAACATCTACCCACAGCCTATAGTCTCTGACATCTTCCCTTACAGACTACAATATCTTACATCTACCACAGGCAATAATCACTAACATCTCCCCTATCTATAACTATTCTTTGTGTTTCTCATTTTATGTTTATTTGTAATTTTTTCCAATTTATATTGTATATTTATCTTAGATGTGTATATGTGTGGGTGAATGCCTGGGGACGCCTAGGATGTTTTTGTATTGTCTATGTTTAATAATATTGTTTGTTTAAGATCTGGGGGTTGCTTATATGATTGTATCGAGTTTACCATAAGAATTCTATAAAAAGTAAAAAGTTTTATGGAAAATTTTTTGCACTTCTCTGTTTTTAATGATTATTAACAAGTTATTTTGAAAAGGTTATAAAGTCTTGATTTTCTTAGTTTCAACCATTTTAATGAAAGTTTTCTTATGTATTTTTCAGATCTCTACTATAAGTTTCTATAGCTGCCCTCGTATCTACTGCCGAACAGTTATAAACAGCGATCACAGGCCAACTAGGTAACAAAGTTGCTGTTTTTCTTCATCTTTTTGGATTTCTAAACTTAAATATGTTTACAGAAATTATTTAAAGAAATAATACATACATACAGTGCATAATATCTTGTATCTACCTACAACCTATGGTCACTAATATCTACCCTTACAGCCTATATTCAATAATATCTACCCTTACAGCCTATATTCAATAATATCTACCCTTACAGCCTATATTCAATAATATCTACCCACAGCCTATATTCAATAATATCTACCCTTACAGCCTATATTGAATAATATCCACCCTTACAGCCTATATTCAATAATATCTACCCTTACAGCCTATATTGAATGATATCTACCCACAGCCTATATTCAATAATATCTACCCACAGCCTATATTCAATAATATCTACCCACAGCCTATATTCAATAATATCTACCCTTACAGCCTATATTCAATATCTACCCACAGCCTATATTTAATAACATCTACCCACAGCCTATAGTCTGACATCTTCCCTTACAGACTACAATATATTACATCTACCACAGGCAATAATCACTAACATCTCCCCTATCTATAACTATTCTTTGTGTTTCTCATTTTATGTTAATTTGTAATTTATGTTGTATTTTTGTTTTAAATGTGTACATGTGTGTGAATTTCTGGGGACGCCTAGGTTGTTTTTGTATTGCATATGCTTTGTATGCTATGATATTGTTTGTTTATTAAATCTGGGTTTTTTTCATATATTTTTTTACTTTTCTACCATATTTTTTGAATATTATATGTAATTGAAAAAAAAATTTGGAATTTCAATATCCACAAGAAGTGGAAGGTTGACATTGTTGACATTAGAAGATAACTTACCAGACATTCGTGTGATTGTATCCTCTTCTGGCTTTGTCCGTCAGCTTTAAGCATAGTTACCACTAAAATCATCTCTAGTGATAAATTTAAAAGACTTGTTATTTCTCT